CATTTATCACTAAATCGAATAATTATATTTATAAGTACTTTTATTTACATTTGTGTCTATGATATTATTTATATATTCTTTACTTCCTTTTGAGTTTTGAACAATTTATATTTAGGTAGTAATCAAGTTGAATGTAGGAAAAATCTAGATTTTGATAATTCGGTCATGAATATGTAATTTTGAGGCATGGTTGATAGTTTGAACAAAATTCGATTAATTTAACATTAGAATCTCATTTTTGTTTTTTAAACTGAATAATCTAGCATAAATAATGCTTAGTACAAGTGATAAAATCAATCAAAAGACAAAAAATGGTGATATGTAAAAAAAAGGCTAGGGGAGCGTGTTGAGACCACGTGTAAAGTTCAGTACAAGTGAGAAAATCCTCAGTCGTGTTTCTTTCCTCACCTTTCCCAAACTCCTCTCGCTCTATCTCCAAATTTTCTTTCTTATTATAATATTCCAATAAACCTCACACAATGAAGGTGAAAAACACTAGCAAACCTGCAAAATCCGATTACGATAACAACTTGCAGAAAAAGTTCGGATTTTTAGCCCTTTTGCGAGCATGGCTTTGGCAAATGCATCCCTTTTAGCTTTTGGGCCGCTCTCTTCTCATCCTCCTTCGCCTTCATCCTCGCCCTCATACCTTCCGGTGACAGGTTTTCGAAAACCGCCGTTTGAATTGACCGGAAAAAGAAATCTCAGGTCTAACTTTATTTCCACATTTGCCCTTAAAATTGGTGGAATTTGTGAGGCTGAGGATTTAGGTTCGGAGAACGATGATAATGGCGATGATGATGAGCTGCTGGGAGGATCCCACGAGACAGAGACTTTCTTGTATTCGTTCTCTCCTTTGAATTTGCTACTCTTGGCTGCTCTGCCTGGAGGTAATGTGATGTGCCCCATTACAGATTTTAGTCGAATTTTCGGAATTTTTGGAATTTTAGTCTGTCTTTGAATGATTTTGTTGAGGGGATTTTATGAATTTAAGGAAGTTTCTTGATTGTACGTTGGATTTGGCTTTTTGGGTTTGCACCATTGTGTGTATATATGGGTGAGTTTGGTTTATGTTACTTTTTTTTGTTGAGTGGTAGTTGAAATTTTGGGTCTAATGATGGCCTGTGAGTCCATTGTGTTAGTTTGTAATTGTGTGATTATCAAAGCTATTAACTTGAAACAAAGGAAATAAAGGAAACCAGAGTGTAACATAAGTACTTTAAGGTTTGGTCTTGTGTGATCGTGAGGATTGCGAGCTTTTCCGAGGGCAAAATACCGTTTATGTTATTAATGATACAGAAATACAGTGAGATAAACCAATTATAGTTTATTGGATGCAATAAATGCCACACTGAATTAGTGTGATTCTATTGTTGTATTGAAATTTTTCAGAAAGTATTTTCTACAAACATCAGAATACCTAAACTTGAATCTTGCAGTAAACGATGTAGTTTGTGTTTAGACCGTTCCTTTGGAAAAAAAAAACTTACTACTCCTTGGAAAATTCAATTGCAAAAGCCAGTGAGTGCCCTTTGTTTTACATTTCGAAACTTACAACTCAAGAAGTAAGAGAAAAGAGACATAGTATAAAGGCATATTGTGCATTATTTAACCCTGCATTCACCCTAACACATACGATTAGCTTTCTACTTTCTCTCCATTCCATTCTTTTCAGTCTGTGTTATCATTGACATGATCTTTTTAATTCAGCTACAACCGTGACATCTTTATTCAGCCCCTTTGTTGAGCTTATAAAGTCATGGAACCTTCCGGATTGGCTGGTCCACTGGGGTCACCCTGGGAACATGGTACTCCTTTTTCCTGTCCTAATTCATTTATCCACTGATTAAAGGAGTTAAAATGTCCTAAAATCGATATTTTTATATGACAAGCTTCTCATAATTTTTGTAGACCGTTGTGTTGTTTGCCATGGGCGGTTATGGAACTTATTTGGGATTTCGTATTCGTCTTTCGAATGACGTGGTAAGGATTACACTGACTGGAATATGCTTTCTTGTAGTTATATAAGAGTCCAATTTACTCTTTTTTCATTTTTCTTTTAAATAGGAGGAGAAGGCTAAGGCCAAAGATTTGCACCCGAAGCTTCTCGGAGGAATGTTTTTCTTCTTTGCTCTCGGGGCTACTGGTGGAGTTATATCTCTTCTCACTTCTGACAAGCCCATCTTTGAAAGGTGACTATATTTTATTTTCTCTGTGAATGTGTTTGGTAAGCATATAAGCTAACATATAGCTTATTTGATTAGCTTATAAGCTTTCTATATTCAAATAAACTTGGTTTGGTAGGACGAATTTTTTTAAAAAGCTCGAGCTTATCTCATAAGCTTCTTTCGGTAGCTTTTCAAATAAGCTAATTGAAATTTTTATTTCAGCTAGCTTATCAGCTAATTTTACCAAACACTTTTATCAGTCATAAGTCATATGTTATCAGCTATAAGCTCGAAATTCACTTAAAAGCTCTAGTTTATCAGCTAGGTTTACCAAACTTATCAAACTGGTAAACTTAGCTTATTTATGCAATTATAACTCTTATCTCAAAGTGAAAACTAATCTTTCATTATCCTCCTTTTCTTTCTATTGTAGTCCTCATGCTGTAACAGCCTTCATTGGCCTTGCTCTCTTAACAATTCAGACGATTTTGCCAGCACTATTCGAGGTGAACTTTTACATAACAACTATCGATATTTGTTTAGTGGCTTTTAGTAGTTAATCTCATTTTCTATTTCGCATTCGTTGCCAAAAGTCTAATTTGCGGATTTTTATTTTATTTTCGTGGTATTTAGGGCAACCCCGGATTGCGTAATGTTCATGGAATTTTGGGCAGTGGTATTATGACATTGTTCCTTGTTCATGCTGCCCTCGGACTTCAGCTTGGACTGAGCTACTGAGGATTCTACATATTCCTTCAATGAAATCAATATTTCTTCATAGATTCATTTTTTGGAAAAAAAAAAATATGAAATATGAATTGTGGAGATGTAATTTGATGTTGGCAACAGTTTGGTAGATATCCCTGACAGTCACCAAATTTATTGGTAAATTTTATTCATCCACCATTAGTGAGTTCCCTTTTTTTGGTTATTACTTGATTCACATTTAAATTGGATACTAACAACTCTCACAATGGAAAATAACACTCAAAAAAATGGAGATTAGTAACACAAAACATCAATAAATAAAAAATAAAACTAAAACTCTCACAATGGAAAATAACAATCAAAGAGATTGAGTAAAACAAAAAAATAAATAAAAAAATACACATAGTAAACACTAACTAATAACTAGAATAAATTCCTCATTGTCAATCAATTTAATTAGTTGACAATCACAAAGCGTGATCATCACGATGTGATAAAGATAATGGAACAAAAAGAAAGCAAAATTGTTCGTGTAAGGCAGCTGCGTTCTATAGCGACATTTACCAACCCATGCTTGTAACAATTTGCTGCCATTTTTGACAATTTTCATGACTAAAATATAATTTACCACTTAAGACTTGTCCCCAGAAATATAATTTACCAGTTAAGACTTGTCCCCAGAAAGTCTTTCAACATTTTTCCATTTTTTCACAGTTGCAGCTCAAGTCAAGATAGTTCGTTCACCAACCCAAGTACACTTTTAGCTGCACTTGGTACAACACTTCGAACTCTTCAAAACGACCTTTGACAATGGCCAATTGGCCATCCCACCTGACATATCGTCCAAGCTGTCCCGAGTCCAGACCGTTGATCAACCCTTCAATCGGCACCTGGCGTCACGTGACTTTTATTATTATTGTCTTTTAAGTTTTCACTGCCATGTAGGCTCCCGACAAGACAAGTGTACACCCTATCATCCGGAACCAAACCCACCCCTTTCATCTCGTCGTAAAGCTCAAAAGCCTCCTTAGACCGCCCCTCGTTCGCCAAACCCGAAATCAAAACCGTGTACGTGACCACACTAGGAGCCACGCCCTTCGCGCGCATTTCCCAAAATACCCTCAACGCCTCGTCCACCTTCCCAAGCATACATTCCCCATGCACAAGCGACGTGTACGTGTAAACATCCGGCAAAAACCCCTTTCCCTCCATTTTCTCCCTTACCCCGCGCGCTTTCTCCATTTTGCCCTTCTTGCAATACCCATCCACCAAGGCATTGTAAGTCACGGCATTCGGCTCGACCCCTTTTCCCTCCATCTCGTCGAGAATATTCTCCGCGCAGACCAAATTGCCCTCCTTCACGTATATATTGACGAGCGTCGTGTAAGCAACAGTGTTTAGTCCCAAACCCTTTTCCACCGTCGAGAAAATTAATTTTTTCGCTTGCTCGTGACGATTAGCTTTGCATAGACCGCTCGAGAGTATATTGCACGAGTAAATATCGGGCTCGAGCCCTTTCTTCTCCATAATATCACGTACCTTGCAAGCCTCATCGATCGAGCCTTGCTTGCAATAACCGTCCATCAACGTGTTGAAAATGATTCGGTTAGCATCTATGCCCCTTCTTTGCATGTCTTCGAATAATGTCTTTGCAGCCTCCATTTTCCCCGTTTTGCACACGCCGTGCAGTAGAGAGCCGTAAGTCTGCACGTTTGGCTCGAGACCCTTATCCGCCAGCTCGTCGAATAAAGCAAGTGCCCTCTTGAGGTCGCCCGATTTACTGTATAAACTTATCATGGAAGTGTACACGTGTATATCGGCATATAACCCCTTCTCGAACATTTTCTCAAACACCTTCTCTGCATCTCGGGTTTTTGAAAGTCTCACATGGGAGTTGATTAGAAGAGTGTAAGTCGCCACATTGAAATCAACCCCAGCTTTGTCCATGTCAGCCAATATTTGTTCGACTCCTTTCGTATCGGATTTCTTCATATAAGCATCTAACAATGTGTTAAAAGTGAAAGCATTTGGTTTGGTCCCTTTTCTGGACATAACATCCAATAGTTTCCTGGCTTTCTCGATTTCGTCTCTCTTGCACAATCCATCAATCGCAATTGTCAGCGAGTGTACTTTGATCGTCACATTAGATTCGATCATTCTCTGGAAAAATTTATACTGTGACTCAAATTGGCCGGATTTTTTGAACGCGATAAGGTAGATCGTGCAAGAGCGCTCGTCAATTGCAAACCCGTTTTTCACCATGTACTCGAACAAATCCAACCCCTCATCGAATTTTTTAACATCAGCGTATATCCTAAATAACATATCGAGAAACTTGGATTTAATTCCGGGTTCGACTGAAAATTGATTTTGATCCGCTAGAGAAACAATTTCTTGGAATGGGCGCCGGAGATTCTCATCCGAAACGGCAGCTTCCAAGATACTCTTGGCCTCGGCAAATCTTCTGGCTTGAAACAGCCGCTGAACAATTGTGATGTGGGCTTCCAAATTGGGAGTTTGCAGTTCAACCGAGTGGTTTCTCGAGAGAAATTGGAAGAAGCGCAAGCATAGAGTTATGGGGATTTTCGGATTCGAGAGGACGAGATTGGTTATGTGGGGATTTAGATTTGAAATTAAGGACCGTGGAAAATGGGGATACTTTGAGGTGGAATTAATTAGGGTTTTAGCAATCAAATCGGCAGCCTGTTGGTCATTGAATTTTGAAGCTTTACCAGAGCAGGAAACTTGTTTCGCAATGGCGTAAAGCTTTTGGTTGGACATTAGAATAGCAGAATGGTGTAAGCTCAGAGCTTTTCCGGGTGTTCTTCAGTGACAGACTCCGAGGTGGAAAGGAAGGTGTCCATTTAGTATCTGAAAATGCAGTTTCCATATATGTTTTAGTATTTTAGCAAAACTTTAAATCCCAAAATTAGCGGCATAAAGTGTATGTAATAACCAAGAGTAGATTAAAAAACACCTAGAGTCTAATTTCTAAAGTTATCCAGCAAGTCTTAAACATTATTGAAACAAAAATTTTCTCCATCAATGAAACAGAAATGATAACAAACTCGGAATATGTTGAAAGCGAAAGAAAGGAATAACCCTACATAGGTGTAATTAAATTATGTCTTCTAAACACAATGAAGTTCAGATCCTTGAATGATAATCGCAATATTCCTCAGGAAAATAAATGCTTGACGACAGGGCCAAAGAAACCTTCATGCGCAGAGCTCGGCTGAATTTCATGAATTTAAACGCCGTTGATAACTTTTCGTATGAAATTCTTATATACAACAGAGAATTCAACATTCTCTCACCACATTTCTTTCTAGAATTAGATAAAAAGGTACCAAATCAGCCAAGATTCGATTTCAAAAAACGAAATTGCAATTTATTTATACACAGAACAAAACAATGCCAAGAAAAACAGACCCAAGATGTCATTCAGATTATTCAGGTAAAAACTTACCTTTCAATCATTCAAATTACACAAAACTATAAAAACTTCTATTACTGATTTGGAGATTTCGGCAAAAACAAAGCAATTAAAAAAAAATCAATATTCAGCAAGGGGATATCAAAATTGTGGCAGAACAACAACTAATTAGAGCCTCTCTAATCTTTAGAATCTAAAATCATAGCTTCGTACCATTATAACAAGATACGTATTAAGGAATATCGGAATTAGGGTTTGGGCAATTGAAATTGGACGATTGGGAAGTAGGGACTTACCACTTTGGAGCCTGGATTGAGGCACCAAGTTCGTCACGCCGGCCGCCGATTACCGTCTGAAGATCGGATATGTTACTGAGAGCCGGAAGTGTGGACTGTAAATGACAATGTCACTCCATTCATCATTAAATTTTGATTGGAACTTTAACATTGATTTGAAACTTTCAAATTTCATGATGTAAAAAAATGGAATAATGATCATTTTTTAAAGAAAAAAAAAGTGTTGTTGGATAATTTATAAAAAATAACAGTTTAATATTTTTTTAAAAAATATCCTATTAATCTATCTACGTATTTTTTCCACATCTTATTAATATAATTAAATATAAAAATCAATTATTTATACAAATTCTTGAAAGAAATTTACTATTCACTCAATCATTTACATTCATCGGTTTATTATTATTTTAACCAAAACAATTTTAATCGTTACATTTATATCATATTCATTCACAATCTAAAAAATACATTATTTTTTTAATTTTTTTTCTATACTCTCCCAATCACTTTTTTAGTACATTATTTTTTCTAAAATATTCTTTCTTTAATTACACCTTGATTCTTTGATTTTTAATTGATGAATAAGATAGACGGAAAAATATAAAGATTGAGACAAATTAATACATAACTAAAGTTAGTAAACAAAAACGAGACACTCGTAAACTCGACTCATCTTGTTGAGACTCGAAAATACAATTTTTTATAGTATGATTTTGTATTTATCAATTTATTTAGTTAATGAGTTTGAATTCATCTCGATAAAAGGCTGGAGTTAAAACAGTCAATGTTATAAAATAAACAAATCTGAAAGGACGAGTTTGTCAATTTAGCACACCTTAAAAATATCTCCATGACCATAACAATAATTTTGGTAGTTTTAGTTGAATTGATTCCAGGATACTTATACAATCCGCATACATAATCAATTTTTCCAACGTGCATAATATGTATGGACAAACAAAATGGACTAAATACAATGAATCTAAACCCGATGTTTGGCATAAAATTATACTCCCTCATATTTTTAATAAATGTCATTTTGAGAAGTTGCACAATAATTAAGAGTATTTTTTTTGCTAATAATAACTCTCATTAATGAAGATAGAGATAAATGTTTTGACAACATATGAAAAGTGAATATAAAAAGATGTAGTGTAATTATTATCTAAATAAGGGTAATAATGGAAAAATATGTACAAAATATTCAAAAAAATCATTTATTTAGTCAATGGTCGATAAAACTAAAATGACATTTAAAATAAATAGGAATAGTTCCAGTGTTTTCATACCGTACTGTACCGGCCGGTAATATCAGATACCGCTATTGGTACGGTACAATTACACACAGAATACCAGATTTACGGTTATACCGGTTTGTAACGGGGTCATACCGTAAATACCAGAAAAAACCGATCAAAATACCGGTCATAAAAAAAATTAAAACAAAAAACTAAAAAAATAAAATTTATTAATTTAAGAATATAAAATTTAAATTGGTAGTTAGAATGTTTTATTTTTATCTCATTAGTAAGTTAAAATTAATGATTATGATCATTTATTTTTTTACTTTTTTGCATTTGGTATTATATATTTCTATATATAAATATATATATCATTATATTTGCTAGTATGATAATACCACTGATATTACCGGTCTGACCGATAATACCGCGTACCGGTTACTATAGCAATCAGTACGGTATTGATAATACCACTGATATTACCGGTCTGACCGATAATACCGCGTACCGGTTGCTATAGCCATTGGTACGGTATTTAAAACACTTGTAGTATCAATTTTTTTACTTTTTTTCTTTCCATTTGTGGCTCAACACCACAGCGGTGGATCTAGCATTCAGCTATTAAGCCTATTATACACATTCTACTACTTTTTTATAAATCTTAAAAAAAAAATATATTTTAAAAAATAATATAAAATAAAAGTATGGCAATTTTAATATAAGGGTTAATTGTAAATAAAATCTTAACCTTTTATCTAATTGCAAATAAAACTCAATTTTTTCAATTTGGCAAAAAAATACCAAACATTCAATAAGTGTTGCAATTGTGTCTCAATCACCTTCCGCTGCCGCAGGACCGCCGCCGGCCAACTTCTCCGAATGTTAAAAATTTTTACATGATCTTGTAGCTCTCCTCCGTACCGACAACATATCCGAGTTTCACGAAAAAATTCCGACGATAAGGAGATGACCGGAAAAGTCGTCACCGGAAAAAGTCACCGGTTTTGGCGAAGGTGGACGTCACTAGATGCAGCTTTGCGAGAGGAGTTCAACGGTACCTTCGGATTCACGTGGGTCAAAGCGAGTCACCGGGAATTTGCGAAAGAACGCCAAGAAAATTTGTAGACCTACATACTTTGACCGGAAAATTGAAAGTCTCATTGTCGGAATTTTTTCGTGAAACTCAAATATGTTGTCGGCACGGAGGAGAGCTACAAGATCATTTAAAAATTTTCAACATTCGGCGAAGTTGGCCGACGGCGGGTGGCGGTTGGCGGTGGTCCGGCGGCGGCAGGAGGTGATTGAGACACAATTGCAACACTTATTAAAATTTTAGTATTATTTTGCCAAATTAAAAAAGTTGAGTTTTATTTGTAATTAAACAAAAAGTTAAGATTTTATTTGCAATTAACCCTTAATATAATTATATATTTTTATTTACAAATACAATATTTAGTTGATAGAGTTCAACAACCCACGTACACCTTTAGATGCACAGGGTACAACACATGTGCTCGTCAAACTGTCTCAGACAATCACCACCCACCCACCATAAACGGCCAGAGCATTCACACCGTTGATCAACCCTCCAAACGCCAGCTGGCACCATCTCGTTCTCATTGGGCCCACCACAGAGAGCGGGTCATTCGGATCCGATTCTTTATATACCCGCGGCTGAGCTCAGATTCATTTGCGCTTTGCTCTCTCATCTCCTCCATTTTTGCTCTGCAGATCTGAAGATTGGTTTGATCAATACTAGAAGGTAAGGACGATAAACTAGCTTTGATATTTTAATCTCCTTTTGTTTTTTGTTGAGATCAATAAATTAGCATTGTTTTGTGGTCTGTATGTGATTTGAATTGAAATTTGAATGTCGGTTGATTTTGCACGATTTTATGTGATTTTTTGGGAAGAAATGTGATCATGCAGAGTAGAACTATTGAATATGAAAGGTTTTCATATGAAAATGGCATGAACAACGTTTGAATCTAAGTGCTCTGCCTTCATGCGATTCAGATCTCGTTGAGCATTTCTTCTAATGGGTGCTATTGGGGTTTTCGTTTAAGGATCTACATTGCGTGCCAAAAGAATTTGCGATTATCCCATAAGTTGATTACAGATTGGATCATTTAACTATATATTTTTTAGATCTGAATTTCTTTTTACATATTCTAGTTTTTGTCATTTTGATGATTTTTGTTTCACAGGTGGATACAAGCTTGTTATCTTGTTATAGCAAATCTATTGTATATAAAAGATTGTGTTTATTTAGCTGCCCATAATTATTCTTCCTTGTTGTCATTCATCAATATAGAATATGGGTGAATGATACACAGTTTCCTTTTATAGCAAATCTCTGTATAAGAAAATATTGTATCTCTGCTACCAGTTTTTTTTCTTTTCCTGGTTCTCATCAACAGAGAATTAGCAAACAACACATAGTTCATCCAATTCTATTCCAAAATCTTGCTGTTCAACACATACTTTAGATTCACCACCTAATTTCATACATTGCAAAATGCATTTCCAGATAATACGAAAAATGGACACCTTCCTCTTCACCTCCGAGTCGGTCAACGAAGGCCATCCCGACAAACTCTGTGACCAAGTCTCTGACGCTATCCTCGACGCCTGCCTCGAGCAAGACCCCGAGAGCAAAGTCGCGTGCGAGACGTGCACAAAAACAAACATGGTCATGGTATTCGGCGAGATCACCACAAAAGCCAACGTCAACTACGAAAAAATCGTCCGCGACACTTGCCGAGGCATCGGCTTCATCTCCCCAGAAGTCGGCCTCGATGCCGACAACTGCAAAGTCCTCGTCAATATCGAGCAGCAATCTCCCGACATTGCTCAAGGAGTCCACGGCCACCTCACCAAGAAACCTGAAGAAATCGGGGCCGGTGACCAAGGCCACATGTTCGGTTACGCCACAGACGAAACTCCAGAGCTGATGCCATTAACTCACGTCCTCGCCACTAAACTCGGCGCAAAGCTAACCGAGGTTAGAAAGAACAAGACTTGCCCATGGCTGAGGCCCGATGGAAAAACCCAAGTCACTGTTGAGTACAAAAACGAGAACGGGGCAATGGTCCCGATTCGCGTCCACACTGTACTCATCTCGACTCAACATGACGAGACGGTTACAAACGAGATGATCGCAGCTGATCTTAAGGAGCATGTGATAAAGCCCGTTATCCCGGCCCAATACCTTGATGAGAACACTATCTTCCATCTCAACCCATCGGGCCGATTTGTGATTGGAGGCCCGCATGGCGATGCGGGCCTTACTGGAAGGAAGATTATCATTGATACTTATGGTGGGTGGGGTGCTCATGGTGGTGGGGCTTTTTCTGGCAAGGATCCTACTAAAGTGGATAGGAGTGGGGCTTATATTGTGAGACAAGCGGCTAAGAGTGTTGTGGCTTCTGGGCTTGCTCGGAGGTGCATTGTGCAGGTTTCTTATGCGATTGGTGTGGCTGAGCCGCTGTCGGTTTTTGTGGATACGTATAAGACGGGCAAGATTCCGGATAAGGATATTTTGGGTTTGATTAAGGAGAATTTTGACTTTAGGCCTGGGATGATTGCAATCAATCTTGATTTGTTGAGGGGAGGGAATTTCAGGTACCAGAAGACTGCAGCTTACGGGCACTTTGGGCGTGATGATCCTGATTTCACCTGGGAGACTGTGAAGGTACTGAAGCCTAAAGCTTGAGGTTTTGATTGGTTTGTGG